AAAAAAAAAAAAAAAAAAAAAAAAAAAAAAAAAAGTTATTTACCTAACATTTAATCTACGATAAATAGAATCAGATTTACGTAAGAACGATTTTTTTTTAACGAGTTAATTACAAATGGTACGTCACAATCAGCACCCTGGTGACCGGGTCACCAAGACACAACATATTGGTTAAAAAAAATTAAGTTCGATGATTTTACAATGAAATAAAATCTGCGCAGTACGCAGTAACAAAAAAAATGATAACAAGATAAAGCTAAAGTTAATCTATATAATCAATTTAACGGTAAACTCTTTTTTAAAAAAAAATCAGCCAAATTTACTTTTTTAAAAGAATTGATAAGAAACCTGTTTTATAAACAGAGAAATCTTTGTCCAAAAATCAAAAAAAAAGACAAATCAAAGCAATACAAGTTAAATCAATCAATTAATCGAATAAAGATGGAATGTTTAGCATTTGGCCACTTGGCGTCTAATAAATAAAGATCTTCTAAAGAAGGGTTTCTTTTTTTAGGTTTTATTGTTTCGTCAAATTTGTATATATGTATATATAATTGTAACAATATATAAAAAAATATATATATATATATATACAGTACAGTATATACAGTATAATAATATTTTGATTAAATTCATATAAATCATTAAATTTAAAAATAGAATTGATTTTACTTGATAATGCATAAACTACGAATAAAATCTGTAGGCTTACATCTTAATTCCAAGAAGTTTTATTCCTCGTGTACATATTTCGTTTATTCTTTGTATGACAATAACGTGAAAAAGAGGAAAAAAAAAGAATGTATGGATGTAAACAATTAAACAATCATAAACAAAGATTTTTTTATCGGTTAATCAGGTTCGGGATTTGTCCATGACAAAATGGAAAGATGCGAAAAAAAACGCGAATTTACTTAAAAAAAAAACAGATTGGCAGATGTTTTTTTAATTATGATTGGATCAAAAAAAAAAAATTCTAACTTTATTATTATCTCCGATAATCCTATTATAATATTATTATAATATTATAATATGCTTTTAAAAGAAATGTTACACATTTTATTATAATTTAATCTAGTTTAATCTTTTCAAATATCTTTTTACTTTTTCTTTTCTTTCATTGGTTACCTTTTACCAAATAAGTGTTAATGAAATCTTCTAGATTATTTACTTTTCTTTTATGAAACAAGAAAATAAACTTGTATTATCTGAAACTATTTATCACTTGTACTCCTTTTTTAACTAAAAAAAAATCAGTAAAAAAAAGGAATAAATACAAACAAATAAATCGCCTTTTTCCAATAAAAAACTGTATGTATCACATTCGCCCACCAAATAATATCAAATAATATGAAAAAGAATGTGGGGTATAATAAGTTTATCAAAAAAAATAACGGTAGAGTAATAATAAATTAAGTAATTAGTATTAGGTATCAGGCGTAATCAATATTATTATTATTATTTATTTGAGAGATGTCAATAAAAATAAAAATAATAATAAATATTTTTAATATTTTTTGATATTATTTTTGGTAGTTCATATAAGGACCAATCAAACTAACCCGAATATTTAATTTATTAGTAATACTCTATAAGTTTATTCCGTGTTTTTAATTTTAAAAAAATGGGATCAACTTTTTACTGCGTGTCATTTCCCACGTCAAAAAAAAATATAAGTTTTTAAGTACTATAATTTTATTTACTGTATTTATATTTTATATATATATATAATCTTTTGTTTATATTTTACATAATGGATCTTATGCGATCTTTTCGCTTTTGGCCATTAAATGAATAATCTTACATTACTAGCCCTGTTAGACTTTATTAGTCCAGGCATAGTTTTTTTTTAAAAAAAAAAAATTGTGTAAAATTGTGTAAAATTGTGTAAAAGTGTAAAAATTGAAAAATAAATTACATGATTTAGAAATATAAAAATATATATCTATTTTTTTTTTTTTTTCTTATGAAATTTTACCAAAATTTACAAAAAAAGTGTAATCACGATGATTGAATATTATAAAGATGGTCGAAAAATTTCGTGATTTAAAATTTCCGAACTATCAAGGACACCAGCATCAACGAGTATTTCACTTAATCGACCATTTGAATGCATAGTAGCAAGTTCATCGCTACCACCGATTGATTTACCATCAATAAATATATTTGGAAATGTACTTCGATATGTTGACTTTATCAATGCTTGTTTAAATTCATCTGCATCATCTATAAAGAATGTGTAAGTTATTATATAATTTGTAATGATTTATTAATTCTAAAATGAAAAGTAATAATAACAATACCTCTATTATCAACTTCGATTATCAAAACACTAGGTGAAATATGATACAGTGAAAGAATATGTTTTACCTTTCGTGAATATCTGTGAATGAATGAAATTAAATTAAGGATCAAAAAAAAAAAAGATCAAAAAAAGTTCAAAAAGTTCAAAAAAAGTTTTTTACTTACGGACAATAAGATTTACTAAAAACTACAACAGGATTATCATGAACCAAATCATCAATTTCCAATTCAACTTTAGTTTGTGGTTCAGAATCATAATAAAAATCCAATGCTTCCTCGAAACGTTGTTTTGCAATATTTGGTTGATGATTAAAGGTAAAATGATGATCATCTTGTGAATCATAAAAATTTAATGGTTCATGAACACCATGATTATGACCACTTGGACCAATACGACCATGATTTTCTACTTCCAATCCATGAAGTCCTTCTTCACCTCCTTCTCCCATAACGGAAGCAGCTGCCAAAGCAGCTTCATTATTCTTATTATAATATCGTAAACTATGAATATTAAATCCAGTACCACTAAATTCTGCTACTATCCATAATGAGATTAAAAATGCTACGAGTGTAGCTCCCAATATTCTAAATTTTTTTGTTTGAACATAATGATCAATAAAATCTGATAACGTATGATGATTATGTGCATTAATAGGTGTTATTGGATAATACGTTGGTAAGATCGCCGCTTTAGACATTTCTTTAAAAAAAATATATATAACGAAAGAAAAAAATGGTCGACCAAAAAAAATGTGTCTTAATTTATAACTTTTTTTTTTATGCGATTACGTAATTGACGGAAATTTGACGGATTATGGTTTGTTTCGTTAAATAATAAAAAAAAAAAAAAAAAAATTTTTTTTTTTTTTTAGTAAAGTATAAGGGCAAAAATGTATAAATTGAATAAGGAATAATAAATGAAAAGATACCCGTATCTGTAATTGTTAATGTATAGAAATAAATGATAAATCGTTTCAAAAATAAAACAAAGAAAAACAAGAAAAAAAGGAAAAAAGGAAAAAAAAATTTACAAGAATAAAAAATAATAATTTACAATATAATATTTTTAATATTTTTTTTTTATATTTTTAAATGATTTTAAATAAAAAAAGGTTTGTTTCTTTTATAATGGGAATTTTATTTTAAAAAAAATTTTCATTAATCATTTATTTAAAAATATTCGATTGAGAATAGAAAAAAAAAAAAA